TAGACCCCCTCCTAAAGGCACTAAGTTTTCAATGGGCTTCTGCAGCCTTTGTTAAAAGAATGCCCGGTTGCTTATCATCTCTCTTTAGGAAGGAAATGCTGATCACACTTTTTAAGAACAAAGGTAGGATTATTCCTCAGTCCTTCCTCATAAAGCAAACAACTTATAAATATTTAAATATATAAAGCTAATGTTTCTCCCCCACCCACTGTGTAAATTAGTATATGACCACTTGTATTTTGGTGCTTCTGTGTATAAATCCCAGAATCACAGAATTTGTAGGTTGGAAGAGACCTCAAGATCATCGAGTCCAACCTCTGACCTAACGCTAACAGTCCCCACTAAACCATATCCCTAAGCTCTACATCTAAACGTCTTTTAAAGACTTCCAGGGATGGTGACTCCACCACTGCCCTGGGCAGCCTGTTCCAATGTCTAACAACCCCTTTCGGTAAAGAAGTTCTTCCTAAGATCCAACCTAAAACTCCCCTGGCGCAACTTAAGCCCATTCCCCCTCGTCCTGTCACCAGGCACGTGGGAGAACAGGCCAACCCCCACCTCGCTACAGCCTCCTTTAATGTACTTATACAGAGCAATAAGGTCACCCCTGAGTCTCCTCTTCTCTAGGCTGAACAAGCCCAGCTCCCTCAGCTGCTCCTTGTAGGACTTGTTCTCCAGGCCCCTCACCAGCTTCGTTGCCCTTCTCTGGACCCGCTCAAGCACCTCCATGTCCTTCTTGTAGCGAGGGGACAAAACTGAACACAGTACTCGAGGTGCGGCCTCACCAGAGCCGAGTACAGGGGGACGATCACCTCCCTAGCCCTGCTGGTCACACTGTTTCTTATGCAAGCCAGGATGCTGTTGACCTTCTTGGCCACCTGAGCACACTGCTGGCTCATATTCAGCCAGCTATCAACCATCACTCCCAGGTCCTTCTCTGCCTGGCAGCTCTCCAACCACTCATCTCCCAGCCTGTAGCTCTGCTTGGGGTTATTGCGCCCCAGGTGCAGGACCCGGCACTTGGCCTTGTTGAACTTCATGCAGTTGGCCTCAGCCCATCGGTGCAGCCTATCTAGATCCTCCTGCAGAGCCTTCCTACCCTCAAGCAGATTGAGCCTCATAAAATACTCCTCCCACCTCTTCTCCCACCTAGGCTTTTTGTTGTATTCATCAAACTTGTGAGATTTGGGATTTTCTTCCTTTTTGTTTATGTCTGTCCAAAATAAGTACTTCTGAAATCCTGTAATTTCACAGAGGTGGAAATCACAAGGACTAACAATGTTGCCTGCCCAAAAACCTCAGCTCTCATTTCCTGTCATCCTCCTTTTTGAAGTCGGACAAGTCTGTATCTGATAGCTTCCATTGCCTGAGAAGGTGCTCCCTATTCTCTAAGACAGTGCGAGGACCTTGCAGACTGAGTCAAACAATGGACATTTCTTCTGCTCTTTCCTTCTTTCCCCTGTAGTGTTTTTGCCAAGTTAAAGCACTAGTGTAGTCCTGCCAACTTGTAGAAGAGGCACAGAAGAGGATAAAATCAACCAAAGAAGTAGTAGAAGTAGCTGGGGACAGTGAAGCCTCTGCAATTGAGAGGACATGAAGGCTCTGAAGAGAAAAGACGTTTCTTTGGATGCAAAAAGAGAAAAAAGGAACAACATTGTGATGAGGGGAGGAATGGGAAGGAATACTGGAGGACACTACAGAAGTGCTGATGGTATTGGGGAATATTAGGAACTCTGAGCAAGGTTGGGGCAAAGCCTCCCTGAGCTCATGTCTGAGATCTTCTGAATCCAATCTATCCAGTCGACATTGCTTAGGAGGCAAAACCTGTGACTGAGTCAATAAAATGTGGGGGGCATATGTCTTTAGGAATGTACTCAGCTCACAAACCTACATTCTCTCTTCAAGCTCCATTTTAGGGAAGGATTGGCCATCCCAAACCAAATAATCATGCCTAACTTGCCCTGGGGAAAAGAATTTTGATTGGTTTTGTTAACAGCAACCTCCTGTGATATCACGATTGCCTGTACAGTAGCCTCCTCTTCCAGATTTTGAGAAGCTTTTGCTTGATATGCTCTTCCTCTAGAGTTGAATCGGATGATTATCTGCTGACTAGGGAAAAAAAAAAAAGACTGGGCATTCACCAGTGGTGGACTAGTGCTGACAGTTCTGCCATCAATTTAGTGAGGGTTTAGAACTTAATCTCCACTTCCTGGGAGGTGTTTCTTAATCTCTGTCCACTGGCAAGTTTCTGGAGGGAAGTTTGTTCTCTCCAGAAAAATTAAAAAAAAAAAAAAAAAAAAAAAGAGAGGAGAAATTAATTTTTGCAAGAATTGGAGTCAAAGTCCTCATCCTCACTCTTTGTTTTCACTCTGTTCCACTGTCATTAAAAGAGCATCATGCACTTTTGCCAAAGGAACAGGAAATCTCAGTGAGATGTCTAAAGCTCCTCTGCTGTCAGTGCCATTTCACCTATCTCTAGCCAATATTATCTTTGTTTCAGGAAAAAAGGACCATGGGGTTTTCCTGAGCTCTCATTCTTCTGTAACTCTTTGTGTGGTGCTCTCAAATCTCATGGCTGACAGTGACTCCAGGTGCCTGATTTGGCCCCTGCTTCTGAAATGCCGTCACCTCCTATATAGTTTGTATTGTGAAGCCCTAAGTCATTGAAATCATAAAGTGAAATCTGATATTAAAACAAAAAGGTACAGCTTACTCTTTTATGAGACAGCTAATAATGTTCAGCCTTGACAGGGTTAAAAGGCAACATCCATTTCCCCATTATCTTGTTTAAAAAGTGCCTTTTTTAAAGTCCATATGGCGACTTCCTTTCGACCTGCTTTCCCATCCTCGTCTCTTTGTCAGGGCTGTCACTTATAAAGAATCACTTGACTTACAATAACAAGTTCAAAAGAAGACAGAATATAATCAGTTGATCCACGAAGAATTGAAATAAAGAACACCCCCACTGCTCCAGTTATCATTCCCATAGAGATAGTGATATTATTGATGTGATTGCTATGCTAATTTCTATAGAAAAAACTTGTATTTTGGAATTTGTTCAAAGAGAATTTCAGACACATCAAATTGGAAAATGCAGAGTGAATTCCTAAACTTTTTAGTATAGGCATGGGATTTTTTTTTTTTTTAACATTGAATAGATCTGAACAACTATTTATAAACTTCACGTGAAGTCAATTGGAAAAAAATCTTGCTCATTTTTGAATTATTATAGAAAGTTAATTTACTGCAGTTCCAGAAAAAAAAAAAAAAAAAAAAAAAAAGTCCTACAGTACCTATAGGATTATTAATATCATCCCTATAACCTGCAAGTGGGATTGGACCACAAAATCCAAAAATAGAGACTAGGGATTATAAAAGATGGGTACGTTTAAGTCCGCTGTTTAGAAAGAGCTAATTAATCTATACCCCTTCTTCTGCAATTCCATAGTCCCTCCGAGAATTGCCACAGACATAACTTTTTTTTTTTTCTTTTTTTTTTTTCCTTGGACTCCTATTTTAACTAGAAGGTTTCAGCTTGTGATGTTATGCTTTTTATGTAGTAAACTGATTTAAAATGTATGCCAGTCATCTTCAGGGAACTCATTTCAGTCAAGATGAAACTAGTCTTACCTGAATCAATGTTTTAAGTGTCCCTGTGGCTCGGCATTTTGAATAATCAATCTGTCTCCATCGCTTCTTAATCATGCGCATCACAGTCTTTTTTATTTGTCAACCCTTTCGGATCCTGGCTTTTTGTTATTAACATGCCCCTAATGTCACATGCAAGCCTTTTCTTTAAAACAAGCTGCTCATTGGTGTATTTTGATACTTTTTATTATTACTAAATCTTTTTTCCCATAATTACACCACAATCATTATATAATCCCATAACAAAGAGTCTATTGAGGCACCATGCTTTTGTCAACTATGGGACACAGAATCCATAATTGCATTATTCAGTCTCTCCCCCCCTCCCTCCCCCCCCCCCCCCCCGCTTTATAGAAACACAACCTATTTCACCAGTCACATTTGCACCTTGTTTGCTTGGTTATATATTATTTACTAAATCGTTGCCCTGCGGATAAACCTTGTAAAGTTGCTTTAAAAAAGTTATTTGTTTGATAATTAAGTCCTGAAAACCCATCGTTTAATGATTATTCCGAACCCATAAGGCAGAGAACCTCCATGACGTTTTTCTCTAAGTTTAATTACCGTATGCTAATTTCCTTGCCTACTACGTGATTAATTAAAATCATATTTTCATAATCATTTGGCACTAGTATTGTTTTAGAATTATCATGATCCCCTAAATAGTGTATGTAAATAAAGTCGATTCTAATGGAAAGAATCAAAATGCAACGCTGAGGACCTTTATGTGTTTGTATGCATGCGATTGGCAACATAACTGGCTTATTTACATTAAATACGCCACAAGGTTACAGTGCAGATCAACGTCACTTTATCGCTGATTACTTCTCTTAAACGCCGGAGCGGTGACTGATGCTCCGGTCCCCCCGTCCACCGAGATTTCCCCGAGAGTTTTTTTTTGGGAGAAGCGGACTTTGCATAGTTTCGGGAGCAGGTAAGAGGGGCGCTTTGTGGAGCCCGCCGCTGCCCCCGGGGGCTCGGCGGCGCTGGCGGGGCGCGGGCAGGGGCGGCGGGGGCTGCGCGGGGGCTGCGCGGCCGCGGGGGCTGCACGGGGGCTGCGCGGGGCTGCGCGGGCAGCGGCGCTGGCCGGGGGGCTGCGGAGCGGCGCGGGCTCCTCGGGGTGTTTACACGGGCTCAAGGTCACGACCAAGCTGCGCCGTGTTAAATGGTTTCTTAGTTGCTAGACAGGGAGAAAAAATGGACGATCACAGCCCATTCTTTGTAGATTATTATATCAAGGGTTCAGCTTTTGGCTCATCAAAGCTAAATGCCGCAAGACCTATCTAGTTGCTGTGAATTATGCCAAGACGACAATGGAGTGCTTTTTTAATGGTACAATGCATTTCACCTACCAGATAGGGGGAGTCCACGCTGAGAGATGGGGATGTCTTGTGATGTTGGGTGATCAGTATCAATGAAGGGGGTTATTCTGAAAAGAGACAGATTAAAATAAAGCGCTCTTTGCTCGGGATGTGCTGGAAGCAGTTGGGAGGGCTACCCGGAGCGGGCGGCCGCGGCAGCCCCGCGCCGCACTTTTCCCCCTCCGCACAAGAAAATGATCAAGTCAATCATGTGGACATGCTTCATTATTCATTGAACACAATCTTTTACAACGCTCCGTTTACGTGCGGGAGTTTCTTCTACGCTTTGCTTTAAATTTTAAGGTAAGAAAGACAAAGGTAAAAAGGGGGTTTTGGAGGATCCGGGAGGCTCCCGCGAGCCATCAAAGAGGCTCCAAAGTCAGTCTGGAGTGTGTTTTTTTATTATTATTATTTCTTTTTAATCAGCGCAACGGGGCCTGCGTTTTCCACCGTGATTAAAAAAATACAGTATAATTAAATATCCATAGCAGTGACGTTTGCAAGCAGGGCTGTCAGGGGAAAAGCAGAAAATAATGAAAGGAGCGGAGAAGCCATTGAATGGCGCTATAGAACTTAGCCTGAAGAAAACCCTCCGTTTTTCCTCTTTCTCTCTCGTTTCTTTTAAAACCGTTACTTTACAAAAAAGGAGCGGGCGGGCGAGGCGAGGCGACGGGAGGCGAGAGCCGGCGGTGGCCGCGACACCGGCTGGGGGCTGCCCGCCCGCTGGCCCCAGCCCGCACCGACCCTGCCCTTAACTTGCCCAGAAACTTTTTGTTTTAAAGGCTCGCTGCGAAGCAAACTTTGCCGAAGTGACTTTAACCGCGTCCCCCCCCTCCTCCCCCCTCCTTCCCTCCCCGTCGGAGGATCCCGGCTAATCGGGGTGTAATTTGTAAACTGCCCCCCCCACCCCCCCTTTTTAAATCAAAGTTAGCTGATGCATACCATGTGTCAAACTTGTGAGATTCAAGTGCCTAAGAGACCTGCCATTTTGTGCTCTAATCGACCTCTTATGAATAGGAGCCGTGCATAATGCTGCGAGGAGCGTTGTGACATTCAAGTAGGCACTAAATGTCAGGCCAGGTCTCAGCCCTTGCGGGGGGAGCCGAGCGCGCCCGGCGGCGCCGCGGGGAGCGGGGAGGCACCTGCCAGCCCGCCGCCGGGGCTTTTGTCAGCGCCCGGAGAAAGTAACAGGTTAAGGAGGAAACTTAAATGGCAAGCCCCGGGGGGAGCGGCCCCGGCCAGGCGCTGCGCGGGGCTGGCGGGCGGGGGGCTCCGGGCGGGCGGCGGGATTACTGGGGGGGGCAGAGGGTGTGGATTGGGGGACGGGGGGGGAAGGAGCGATTCTTTGATGCCTTGTAGGAAAAGAATCCAGCTTTTAATGCGCCCATCTGTTGCAGTTTTGCAAATAATTAATATATGTGTGTGTGTGCGCGGGAGGGAGAGGGCTGAAGGCAGCGGTGACGCCCGTGAACTTTAAACGCAAAATAAAAGGTCGTGAAGATTTATGCCTTTTTTTTTTTTTTTTCTTGCTGTTTTTATTATTATTATTTTTTTTTTCGGAGGGGACTCCAGCCGCAAAGTTAGTTGCCGGTGTCCCCCGGCGCGGCGGCCAAGCCGTGGGGGCGCCTCCGCCGCCGCGCTGCCCCCCCGCGGGCCCGTGGGTGCCGGCGGCGGGGAGGGGAAGGGAGAAGAGGGGAGGGGAGGGCTCCGGCCGCCGCCTGCCTGCTCGGCGGGCATTGTTTCGGGGGGCGTGCGGCGGGGCGGCTGTGGCCGCGCGCGATGTACAGCGGAGAGGCGATTTCCCAGAGTCCTTGTTTTCCACTTCAGCCGCCCGGCGGGTCGGGGAGCGCCGTGGCCCGGCCCGGCTTGGCTCAGCTCGGCGGCGTTGCGCGGTTGCGGAGCGGGCGCTGCGCGGGCGCGGCTGCCCGGCCGCCCGCGGCTGGAGCGCTCTGTGGGGCTGGAGCGCTCCCCCCCACCCCCCCCTCACCCCCCCCCCCCGTGCAGTTTAAAATAAATCCAACAGGGGCCGTGTTTGCTGAGCTGATTTGACCGGTTGATACAGATAGCAGCAGCGAGCCTCCCTGCTTATGTGGAAAAAGACTATTTTAAGTGTCATAATTAAGTTTAGAAGCCTTGTTTGGGCTCATTCACTGCTCGAAATAAAAAGCACTGGCTGCTTTTAGCCCCCTTCTGAAGGGGTTGGCTAAGCGCCTCTGCACGTTCGCTTGGAGAAGAATGTTTTATTTTCTAGTTTAATATTAGAAACTATATTTTTACTTGTTTAAACCGGATTTGATTATTCCTGCGGAGATTTTTTTCTCTCCCCCCCTTCCTATCACTCCAATCTTTGTTCATTGTTCATTGACTGTGGAAGGCTGCTTAAATGTACGGGGGGGGGGGGGGGGGGGGGAGGGAGGGGGACTCTCTGGTTTGATGTTGAAATAGTAAACCTGAATGAGGAGGGTGGCTGGAAAAGTGGACATTGCAGCTTTAATTAACTTCAAAATGCTTCAGCGAGGACCAGAGCGTAGTAGTGACGTTGCCTCATAAATCTGTCCGGTACAGTGCGTTGCATTGAACTATTACAGTATCACCGTCATATTGAATATTCACTACCTATCTGGGAGCATATTTGCATAATTGGATCTTTTTTTAAATGAAACTTGTTTGCAAAAAAAAAACAAACAAAACCAAAAAAAAACAAAAGCCCAAGTGAAAACCGCGGAGATCTGCATGATTATAAAGAGTTCAAACATATCCGAAAAGTAAGTGACCTGCATAAGTACATCAATAGGTTAAGTGCAAATAAGATGAGAAGTGCTTCTGAAAGCTGTACATTCCCTATGTGGTCTCTTGGGTTATTTCTCAATAGCGGGATTTTTTTGTAGCCTCAGGGATTTTAGGTTTTCTGTCTGCTTTCATAACTTTTTCCCTCACAGTTCTTATACAAGGTGAGGCTTTTGTACAGTGCCTGTGTACCTGTAGTGATATTTTGAAAGAAAATAGATTAACAATTTGTAATTCATCGTGTTTGAGTTGTATAATTACAGCTGCTGTGGAACGGGAATGCGTATTGCTGTTATGTTTGTGATCATCGAACAGATCATTACTAAATACTTCAGAATATTCAAAGACTGTGTGTGTGTGTGTGTTTGCGTACGCTTAAAATTTGACTTACTTAACTGAGCTGTTACTTCTTAAATCACAGAGGTAAGTAGTTTTTTAATGTGTTTCTCCCCTCTCGTTTCACTGAGGTTGAAGATTACTGAAGTAATTAAAAATGCCAGGAATTTTTGGAGTGAATTTAGATTGTATGTGAAAGCCATCCCCTCCTAGCCGAAGGGCTGGCTTGCCATATCGCAGGTTTGGATCAGGCAGGTTTGGAAGTATTTTGCAAAATAAGATTCTGGTGTAGCAGATGCTGTAGGGACAAAGTTGTGGAGCGAAGGCAGTTGGAAGCATTGCTGCCTCCTGGAAGGGGAGCAACGATCCGTGGGGATGGCAGAGCAGAAGTGCAAAGTCTGTGTGCAGCCCAAGCCTTGCCCCGGCTTTCTCCCCCCTCGCCGAAGGCTGCTTTAGTTATGATGTCATTCTGATAGTGGAGAGCAAATGTCTTCTGATTCTACCATTAAACGCCTGGCTGATTTGCCTGATAATGATAGCATTGACGTCCTGCTCCTTGACAAATGCAAGCCCTGTGAGCCCTATGAATTAACTTTTTTCCCATGGATGAGAGCTAGCTAGCTTTACGACTCATGAATGTAGCAGCGCTTCTTTGACAGATTACTTTGAACCTTCTCATTTCTGCAACAAAAACCCTTCCCCGAAATGCTATTTAACTGCTAGTAGACCCCTGCACAGTTTGGGCCTGATTTACAGAGCTGCTGAGCACTCACCACTTCCACTGACTTCAGATGGAGTTGTGGGTGCTCAGCAGCTTTGAAAATCAGGCCCTGTGTTCAATTAAAGGCTAATCCTTGCTTGCTTTCTTCTTTCCCTTTTTTTTTTTTTTTTTTCCTCTTCCTTTCTGCCCTTTTTTATTTTTATTTTTTAAAATTTTAAAGTTAGTCAGCTAAGAAGGGCTCTATGACTTCTAGTCGTTATAAAAATGTTTGTAAATAGCCTGAGATGTTTGCCCTCCTCGCCTGTCCTGTTTTTCCCTTTCTGCTATCCTTTTTTGTTTAATTAATCTTCTAATGGATGCACTGTTAATATTTTAATCTTTTGAACAAAAGAATCATAAATGAGTTGTTTAAAGTTTTCAGAATGTTGTAGAAAGAAAATGTCTCCAGTTTGGTAACAAGTGCTTAGAGAATCGGTTGCTGTTTCAGACCATGCACTAGAAGGGACTCTTGGTACAGCTGATAAAGCCTGCAGTGGGGACACTCTCCTTTATCTGTTCTGTCCTCAGATCTTGCTCGTGACTATGAATTTGTATCACTGCAGGTAAATGAAATTTAACATGATTTATTTTTTTTTTAAAGTGCCACTGGCTTAAAGTTTGTTTTCATTTGCTGTTCAAATGATGACAATTAACAACTGCAGATGTAAGAAAGGTTAGTCCCTCCATTACATTTGCAGGAAATGCATCTAGAATATTTGCATGCTAAAGCTATGTTTTGCAAATGAGGTCGTGAAGATACAAGTTGCTATGACAGAAATACTGTATTAAATGTGACTGTAACGTGATCAATTGTGTAGAAGAAAAAGGGAAGAATTAGAAGAATTGTTAGAAGAAATTTCAATTAGAAGAATTGTTCTAAGGGCTTTTTGACTTCTGAACATATTTGAGCTCTCTAATACTCAGCAAGTTGGCTGGTGCCGTCTTCACTGAAGACTTTTATATAACGAAGAGGCTGATTGTCATATTTTTGTCCGTGCTAGAGGCCAATAGCCCAACCCATTCATTATCAGGAGAGAGTAGCCTGGAAGTTGCAACATCAGGACCACTGCTTTGCTTGCAGCAATGAAGATAGGACTGAGATCAGAAATTGTGAACTTCAGTACAGAGAGCTGACACATTTGGTTGTTTATCCACCATGGTAGCCTGAGGTGACCAGAGTTTTGCGTTAGAACAGATGTAGAAAACCCACCAGTCCATTAACATGAATTGCGCTTATTCCCCCGGAAGCACAAGTTTCAGCAAGCGTAGGAAAATCAGGAGAAGTCATTTTTCTAAATGTTTTTGCTTGAAGTTGACTTTGAATTGCACAGGTGTTTTTAGAGTGCTTTGACTAGAAAAATAAATAAATAAAATGCATGGGTTTATATGAACTTTATAAAACAAACAAACAAACAAACAAACAAAAAAAAACGAAGAGAAACCATAAATAGATTTATTTTCCCATTTGAATGAGGACAGTTACAGCTTTTAGTATCTTCTGATTTAGTGTGGTTTGTTGGGAATTGTAAGCAAATTTAAATTTTAATCTCTGAATTTCTCTCAGATATCTGATTAGATGTATGTAGGCTCTTCATACCGCTAAAAGCAGGGTGATACCGAAAAACCATTTTTATATCCTCTCATTCACACCTTGCATTTTTTGCCTTATTCTTTGCCCCATCTTCTTTGAGGCATTTTGTGCATCTGCTTCGGAGGTGCAAGCAATTCGTATTCAGGGAAGGAGGACATAGATGAAAAAATAGAATAAGTATTCTTTCTTTTATAGAAACATGAATAAACTTATTTCTGGAAACTGTAGATGGAAATCCAGATTTCTCTAGTGAAGACACTCCGGGCACAGATGTTCACAGAACAGGAAAAGAGGATGAGTTACTGAAAGAAAAAATATAAAAGTAAAGTAATTCTGATATGTTTAATTAGATGATCTTAGGGTTATTGTACAAATGTGTGGCTGTAATTTCTGGTTTTGTGTCTGAATACAGAATGTGAACTTTTTCTAACTAAGTTGCTGGTCAGGATCAGACCTTGGATAGAAACAAGTGAAAATTGTAACGATCTGATGGATGTTTGTTGCTTAACATGAAATAGATGAGTGGTGCTGGCTTGAATTTGAGTGGATCACAATAACTGCTATGACATTTTCACTCCTATTGGCAGGTTAAGAAATGAAGCTAAGCACTGAGAGATGTGAAG